TGTGCGCCTGCCATCTAGTGGCAGAAGCATTGATAATGTCAGAAACTCTAGAGTGCTTGAAAGGAGAGGTTTGCCAGAGGTTTGCCCCACTTTACATTTTTCACAATTAATCATGCCTTGCAAACTTTTAGACCTTTGAAATGTCCTTCCATTTTATTCTAGCTCATTACAGGTTAATTATAAAAACAAATCTCTGGAAGCCAAAACATACCTAACCATTATTTCATTCCCATGTCAACTAAAGCCAAGATCCCTTTCTAAGACTGCTTTTATTTTGTTTACAGAAAAAGCACTGACTTGGCCACGCTGTTATTCTTCCACAGAGAATGCTGACCACTACTACAGATGAGCAAATCAACACTAAGTCACTACTGGCTTCAAAAGAGATTTTTTTTCTTCAAAACAATGAAAAAGGGCTGGCATCTTGGCACAGCAGGTGAAGCCACCACCTGCAATGCTAGCATCCCATATGATTGACACTTCAAGTCCTGGCTGCTCCACTTCCAACCCAGTTCCCTGCTAATGTGTCTTGGGATGGAGCAGATGACCCATGTGCTTGGGCCCCTTCACCCATGTGAAAGACTTGGATGGAGTTCTAGGCTCCAGCTTTGACTTAGCCCAGACGTGACCATTGTGATCATTTGGGGAGTGAATCCATGGATAGAAAATCAATCCTCCCACCCCTGCTGCCTGTCCCTCGCTCTCTGTAACTCTTTCAAATAAATATTTTAAAGAATTCAATGATAAGCTTAATTTAAGAAAATAATGAAAGAGGACTGATCAATGCATTTGCAATTACTCAAGTAATAATGGAAGAGTCAAGTCAAGAGTAAATGAGAGAGCCACATGTCAGCTTCATTTCTTTACACTTTGTGGATTTAGAAGGTAGTGACTGTCAAAGATCATGCCCTGTTAGCAAAATCAACACCATCTATTTCTCTCATATCTGCAGTAAAATTCATCTTATATCTCCAAGATATTTTCTTACTGCAATGTTTCCCTCCATGAACACAACCAAAAGAAGGAATAAATATCAGATAAGCAACATGTTTCAGGTGTGGCTGCAAAGGTGCGATGAGGCTGGCCCAGGCAGCACTAAGGGAGGCCTGTGCTCCCCAGGGACAGGGTGAATGAGTCTGTGATTCCCCTGGTGTGGCTAGTAGGCTGTCCTTCATTCACACTCTACAAGGGAGTGACTGAGAATTGTATTAGCCATAAAGGCAAGATAGAGCTGAGGCTTGGAGACTGAAGACTCTATGGGAATGGGCTGGAAGGAAAGGATGAAGATTGTTTCTGATAATACACGTTTTGAAATTTTGAGTGGCAAATGATTTTGTTTTTTAGTTCCATTAATTTTCATTTATTTATTTTCACTGACCACACACACACACACACACACACACACACACAGGGTGAGCCTCGGGGGTTGGGGTAGGGAGAGGGATCTTCCACTCATGGTTCATCCATCACATGCCCACCATAACCAGGACTGGGTCCACCTGAAGCCAAGGAGCCTGTGTTGCAATCCAAGTTTCCCATGTGAGTGGCAGGGACTCGCGTACTGGAGCCATCACCTGCTACCTTTCACAGCACACATGGGCAGGAAGCTGGATCAGAAGCAGAGCATCCAGGACTCAAACCAGGCCCTCTGTTACAGGATGCAGGCATCCAAGCTGGTGACTTAATCACTGTGCCACATGCCTACTCCCAGAGAATGAGTATGAGAAAGTGCTGGGTAGGTGGGACATCCAGGCGGAAGCCCCCTAGGAATACAGTTGTGATGTTAGGAAGAGGGTGGACCAGTTAAGGGAAGTCTTTCTCTCCTTTTTGGATGCCCCTTTACCCTTCTCCTTGCGTAGGTCTCCCCATTTCTCTTTTCCCCTTAATATTGCTCCTTCCCTCCTCTGCTGAGGCTAACTCTCTTTAACAGCCAAATTAGTTTTATCACACTTGTACATGAACACCATAATTTCTTGCAATATTTGAAAGTCTAAATTAAAATTCCTGATAGATGAATACATTCAGTGTAGTGGTTACGACATCACTTGGGACACTGACATCCAGTATCGGAGTGCCTGGCTTTGAGTCTCCTCTCCTCTCCTGACTGCGGCTTCCCACGAATGCACACCCCAAAAGGCAGCAGATGACGGCTTTAGAAGTTGGGCTCCGGCCACCTACATGGGAGACCTGGCTGGCATTCTCAGCTCCCGGCTTTGGCCTGGCCAGTCCTGGCTGCTGTGGGCATTTAGGGAGTGAATCAGTGGATAGAACCTCTCTCTATCAAATAAATTAAGTAATTAAAAATGTAAAAATATTCAACGCTCTGCATTTTTCTCTAGAGAGTGAGTCTCTACCAAAGGTTCTCAATTGTCTTTGACCTTCACATTATTTTCATGATAATGTACAGTCCTAAGGAAGGAAAAAAGACCAAAGGTTTTCTGTTCCCCAAAATCAAAGTTCTCCTTCCACTCTCAGCAAAGCCTGGTATGTAGAGACTGGCTGCTAGCCAAAGAGCTTACACGTGTGCATGCAAGCTTATACCTGTCTAATTAGAGACTATGCAAAGATAAATCCTGTCACTGTGTGGCTTGTGAGAAGAATCTTCCTGTGCTACACCTTTGTTTTAAGATAAGAATGATACCTTTGGAAAACTCAGTGATAGCAGCACCCTTAAAATGGCCAAAAAGGAGGAAAATATTCCACGAATGTTTATTACAAATGTAAACAGTTAAATAACATTCTGGAAGTACAAAAGAAATGTAGCTTACTTGGAAGATGTTACACCTCCACACAATTATGCATGACTTTCAAAATGTTTTTGAACCAAAATAAACTCATCTTTTAATGCCATTTCCCACAAGCTTTTTGAAGTACCCTTCTATTCTTCCAAAAGTGAAAAAAGAGTGTCCAATGCTATTCCATTCCTGACGTTAAAACCCTGTGAGAGTGTTAGCACAGGTGCAGAGCAGGACTTCCTAACTCCTAGTACCTCAAGAGGCATAATTTGCCTTTCTCCGCAGGTCCCAACCTAGGAAACTTGCCCCTTTACTTTTTTTTTTTTTTTTTAAACAGGCAGAGTGGACAGTGAGAGAGAGAGAGAGAAAGGTCTTCCTTTGCCGTTGGTTCACCCTCCAATGGCCACCGCAGCCGGCGCACCGTGCTGATCCGATGGCAGGAACCAGGTACTTTTCCTGGTCTCCCATGGGGTGCAGGTGGCCATCCTCCACTGCACTCCCTGGCCACAGCAGAGAGCTGGCCTGGAAGAGGGGCAACCGGGACAGAATCCAGCGCCCCGACCAGGACTAGAACCTGGCGTCCTGGCGCCGCAAGGCGGAGGATTAGCCTAGTGAGCCGCGGCGCCAGCCGCCCCTTTACTTTTTGTTCTTTGGTCTCCATCAACCTCCACACTCACTTGCTCATCTTTATGAAGATATTTCAGTCCTAGTAGGGACGTTTAATTCTTGTTTCTAGTCTCTTTGGATCGGCAGAATAAGGTCAACATCCACACCCAAGTTGAGGGTTCCAGGGACATTAACTTTTATGCCAATCAATAATTCTTACAGCAAAATAGATTAGCTGGAACGGATATTACTTAAATCCATAGCAACCAGGCTGGCGTTTTCTATGTATCTTTAAAGAATAGAAGTAAAAAGGGATTCGGGGTGTGTGTGTGTGTGTGTGTGTGTGTGTGTGTGTGACCAGGGTAGCAGCTATCTCAGGAGGTACTAGTTCGCAGTTACATCCAGTCCCGGAGATGGCTGCAGACAGAGCTTCATTTCTTTGAACGTATGTGAGTCAGTACTTTATTTTCATTTCTGCACACAAACATGCAGTAACTTCTTGTGGTGCCTGTGGGGTGTACATATCCGTATTCACCGACGTTAAGTGAAACTGGGCCCAGGATATGTAGTCATGAATACCCTTCAGATGCACACATCGGATTGAAGCGTCCCTGAGGAACCAGGTATTCTGTAACCGACCAAGGGGAATCTGGGCGCAGAAACATTGGTACTTCCCCGTTTCATCGGTCCTAAAACCAGAGGTCTGGCGTACCGACCCTCAGCACCCCCTCCAGCGTTTCCAGCAGCCGCTCTGGAATCCCGGTTTGGAATTGCCACCCAAAGAAAACAGTATAGCAACGAACGGAAGGAACCACCGGGCTCCAGGGAGGGGTGGCGCCGACGGCTTTCTTACAACCACTAAGTAACTTCGCAGAAGAGTTAAAATTTCCAGAGCTAAGCACTTGCGTTCTACCTCCACCAGCCTCTGGATTCACAATCCAGACCGCTTCTCGATCCTTCCACGGCACCGTCCAAGCCAGAAGACAGCTCTGCAACCCCTCTTAGTGGTGCGTCTCCGTTCCCTTCCCCAAATCCCTGTAGTAAGTAGCCTTCCCTGGCCGCCCAACGCAGCTGCTTCTCGGATCTGGGGAGCCGGCCCCGCCCCCGCTGCCCTCCTCCCCAGTACCTGCACCCACAAGTTCCAGCGAGAATGTTCCAAGGGGGAGACAGGTGCAACTGGCTTCAGCGCCCAAAGACGTTCTCGTGGCGCCTTTACGCGCAGGGCGAATCGCTCCCTCCCGGCCCGGGGCAGGTGAAGGTCCCGTCCGCAGACGGCCCGCTGCCCGGGCCTGCTCAGGCGCTCTCTGCCGCTGCCCCGCGCCCCACTCTGCGCAAAGTGTGGCCGTGCCAGCCACGCAACTGTCCAGACTTGGGACGCCTGGCAGCAGCGACCGTCTCGTCCCCAGTCTGCCACTCGGAGCCAGCCCCGCAGCCCCCACTTCCTCCGGGTTGCCCGGAACCCTGAGCCAAAGGCGGGCGTCTTCACGCCCAACTCGGGAGCCTCTGAGGTGTCCCGCGTGGGGAGGCGCGCGGATGGGGAAGGGCGCCGCGGGGACCGCCCCGAATCCTCGCAGCCGGCCGCGCCGTGGGAGGCGGCCGTGGGGGCGGGCTGGGCGGGGGCGGAGCAGTCGCCAGCCGCCGCCTCCGCGTCCTCCTCCCGCGGCTGCCGCCTCCGCTGGGCTGAGCAGCCGGGCGTCCGCGGCGCCGGCTCGGGGCTGCGGGATGGGGACTTAGCGCCACGGCGGCGGCAGTGGCCGCAGCGCAACCAGCCGCCGCCCCCGGGCCGGTCCCGCCGGGAGCGCCGGGCGCGGCCAGCCCGCCCCGAGGCCAGGCCCGCGGGCGGCGGCGGCGGCAGCAGAGCTGGGCAGGTGGATGCGGCTGGAAGATGGCGCCCTCGGGCCCGGGCAGCGTCAGGCGGCGGTGCCGGCGGGTGCTGTACTGGATCCCGGTGGTGTTCATCAGCCTCCTCCTGGGCTGGTCCTACTACGCCTACGCCATCCAGCTCTGCCTAGGTGAGTATGTGCCGCGCTCGGCCCTGCGCCGGAGAGCGGGCGGACGCCCGTCCTGTCCGCAGCCCCGGCTCACCCCGCACCCGGCTCGCCACTCGCCCGACAGCGACAGTCCCGGGACGCGGGGGGCCCGGCGCGCTCAGCAGCGTGTCCACTCGCCCTGCCCGGGAGACTCCTGGGCGCCCAGGGGCGCTGCCCTCTCTCCACGTCTCCGCCGGCGCCGCGGCCGTAGCCAACCTCCCAGCCGCCTGCTTCCCCGCGCACCCCCTTGCCCTCGCCTCTCAACTCGCAGGTGACAGTGTCACCTCCACGGCGCGCGCTCGCACCCCCATGCCTGCCACTAGCCAGCCACACCCCCTGGCCAGCGGGACGGCACCCAGGACGGCGGAGCGCTCCGCTGCCAGTAGCCTCCGCCGAGAGGTGGAGCCGGGGACGCTGCGCTGAAGGCTGGAGCGCTCACGGCTGGGCCCAGGATCCGAGCTGCGCCAGACCCGCGCCGGGGAGGCCGGCCTCGGCCTCGGGTGGCAGGGCTGACTCCCTCTCTGGTGGTCCTGAATCCACTTTGTAAAGATTTGTGGCAGGGCCAGGCGCGTGTTTTGATGCCTTTTTGAAGATTGCCAATTGGGCACTTTCTAGTGGAAAAGGGGTGGAGGGGGTGTGTGAGCCGCTGGGAGAGGGTTTTGGAAGACATATGCAATACACAAAACAAGAATTTAGATGTTAGAATGATAGGGTGAAAAAAGAGGTTGATCTTCGGGCTTTTTTTTACATGCAGAGAGCTGCGTGGCAGAGGTCCAAGTTCGAGACTCCTGAATGGAGAGTACTGTACTTTGAATGCCGAAGATTTAACCACAACCACAGCAAAATGATTATGTACAAGTAGGGAATACAGTTTTGTTGCTTAATGTAAGCTGGCTTCTGTCCTCAGAGGCTTGTTGACAACTGGTTTGGGTAACCAGACAAAAACCACGACAGCACAGGATGACCTTTTTGCACTGACTTATGAGTGCTTTCTCTTTGGCCTTCCACCTAACAAAGTGTCTGTGTTCTGGCTGTTAGCAAATACCAGCCTTGAGTGGGACAAGGAAAAAGATTAAATAATGGCCTCTTTAGTTGAATCTTCATAACATAAGCATTTTTAAAGCTTCAGAATTCAGATAATCTTGTCTGAAGCCATCTTACGTCCAAACGTTGCCTTTTGTGAATGAATAATAGTGTCAGAATAATATGCAAAACTAATAAATGATGTAATTTTTAAAAGAAGTGACTTTCCATTTCATATTTTTATAGTTTTAAAATTTGCTTTTATTGCTGTGTTTATTAGACTTAGAAACAATCTTTTAATCAAAAGAAGTGAGACTTTTTTAAAAAATAAAAGATTGAATTGTGCGGACATCTTCATGACAGTGCAACTATATATGTGATGTTCAAACCATCTAAAATGTAGACAGGAATGTATATGACGAAACGTGTAATTTTGTATTTAATATTAAAATACCTATTGAGATATACTGTAATAGTATGTAACTGTTTGGAATCATTGTTTCATTCCTTTGACCTCTTGAAAACAATGAACAGTATCAGTTAATGTATCTGGTACAAAGGAGGGAAGTTCTAGAAGGTGTTTATCATCAAAATAGGCAGCTTATTCTCCTGTGTTATCACATTAGGTTAAGAAGCTTAGCCTAGTACAGTGTCTCACGTCCATGGGGGAGGGGGTGTTAATGGCAGGGAGAACTCTTCTTTTCTGCACCTGTCTGGGATACTACATAAGAGTATTGTGTGGGGTAGGTGAGGATGGAGAAGGAGATAAATGAAGAATTGCTGTTGTATCTGGATCATATATATGAGATGTATATGTATAAATATATATCTATGTGCTTTTTGTAAGTTAAGCCAACTCTAAAGTACACATGAAATCCACATCAGTGTTTTAGTAGGTGGCGATTTGTCTAAGAGGGCTAATGAGTCTTACTAAATTGCCTGAATGATGTGGCCCGTTATTGATTGTTTACCTGGTGATCGTAAATGAGGTCTTCCATCACTTCTTGTCATGGTGTCCCTGGCCTGGCACAGTGCCTACCAAGTTGAAAGCAGTCAATCAATGGTCTTGAATAAACAAATAAATGATTCAGAGGCACTATCTCTTATGTTGTCAGAAGTTGTTTTAAAGTTTATATTGCTGTGGAAAGAAAAAGATAAATAATCATTACGGAAGGTCTGTATCCTACAGTCTAGACCACAGAGAAAGTTATAGATGAATTGGATTCTGGAGACGCAAATCAGAGGTGCTGAGCTGCAAAAGCTTCGCATGGCCTTGGTGGGGTGGGGAATTTAACTGGACACCTTCTTTCTAGGTGCTGGGAAAGATGGTGACCAGGGTGGCAGGCATACAAAAACCAGCCTCCGCTCGTTTTCATAAACAGAGCAAATGGGAACGCCATCCCCCGCTCCCCACTCCCAGCATTAATTGCATCTCAGACAGCTCTACCCTTTATGGATTCTTTTTCTCTTAGAAGTTGCTATTTACAATCAGATTTTCCAGATTTCTCCTATGAATCCTTGGCCAGGGTTCTGACCAAAGAGAGTGTGGGGGTTGAGGTGTGAGAATTAGGGTAGGTTACAAACAGGATAGAGCAAGCGAGGTGGATTTATCCTGGTCCCCCCTCCACATCTGCTGTCAGTCAGGGATGACCCTGAATATAAATTACTCTATGCCCTCTGCTGTTTAGGAGTAGTGCTTATCCTGGTATCCTTGGAAACTGAGGATAATGAGTCTCATTACAGTTCGTTTCTATATTTAACAACATGAATGTATGTGGCTTTCTAGGCACTTTTTCAGTTAGCATAATTTTTGCTTAGTGTTTGTATTTTATAAACCAACTCCTTCCTCTTTTTGCAATATAAGTACAAGGTCACTTCAGAAAGTTTTTGGATAATGGTATTAAAACAGAAGTTTTTTAAGTTGTAAAAAAAGAGTTTGAAATCCGTGTCTAGTTTTTTCATAATCATTTTTCATAGCTCTTTGAAGACCCCTCATCTACATGGATTTCAAGAAAGTTTTGCACCAAAATAAGTTTATTTTTTCCATCTTACACACTTTTTGAAAAACCATTGTATATATATTATATATATAAAATATGAAATATACATATATTGTATGAGAGTCAGGTGTTTCAGATATGCCTGCTTCCTATTCTGCCAAAGAAAAAATCAGATGGGACTGCTGTGCTTGTGGCCATTTGGAATACGTCTATCCAGTTTGCCGATTAACTAGACTCCCTTATTCATATTATTCCTTCCCCCTGTAGTTTCCCTCATCACTCCTCTTTGCCTTTAGCCCTCTCTCCATGACTGGTCCTTTGGGTCTTACTTGTTTTCATCATAATTATTAGAAAACTCATTTCCCATAAAGTAAGTAAATTCAGATTATAAAATATGGGGGCAGGTGTTGTGGCACTGCCGGTTAAGCTACTGCCCACATCCCATATCCAGTGCTGGTTTGAGTCCCACCTCTTTGGCTTCTGATCCAACTTCCTCCTTACATGCTTGGGAGACAGTAGCTGATGGCTTAAGTACTTTGGTTCCTGTCACCTACATGGGAGACCCAGATAGAGTTCCTAGCTCCTGTCTTTGGCCTGGCCCAACCCTGGCAATGGTAGGCATTTGGAAAGTGAACTACTAGATGGAAGGTCTTTCCATCTCTTTCTCTCACTCTCACTCTCACTCTCTCACTCCCACTCTGCCTTTCAAATAAATAAGTAATGAGAGGGTACTCTGCAGCTTCAGATATACTTGATTCAGTGGACAAACTGAGTGTGGTTTTGTATATTTTACAGATACACTATGGTAGGTGTCATTAATTTTGCTTATTGAAGAAGATAACTGAAATTTTTCCTTTCAAGTGCCAGCATTTAAAATTGTTATAACTATTTTATACCTCTTTTATTTTTTTTAAATTTCAAACATCCAAAAAGTTTCAAGAATACTCAAGAAAGTTCCATACACCTTTGTTTAACTACTTTGGGTTCCATGTTTCTAAAATATATTTCTTTCCTGCTCTCCTCTGAGGCAGGTGCTATGAGACATTTGTTATGTTGTGCACTGACTAAGTGGTTCTGCATCTGTAGTTTTGCTAAAGTAATTCAAGATTAAAATATGTAGAGATCATGCGTGCCAGCCTCCTTCTGCATTTTAGATGCAGAAGCTAAATGCTGAACACTTGCAACAAATTCTGTGTCCTTTCTGCAGGTTACTCAGTAGAGGTGTCAGCTGTGACTTTCCTTGTTGTGGTGCAAAGGTTAAGATGTCTCCCCTCAACTCCAAACCCCTCACCAAATCCCCCTAGGTCAACGAAGTGTAGACCAAGTCTGTATGAGTTTGTTGTTGTTGTTTAATAAAGGTTAACAGAGCTCTAGAAGTAAGTAAACAGCCTTTCCACAATTATTTCAGAGTTTTAGAAGGCTTTATAGTTTGGCTCAGATAGTGATTATTTTGGCTTTGTGGGCTGTATGATCTCTGTGGCAACTGCTCATCTCTGCTGTTGCAGAGAGCAGCCATAGAGAAAACTTTAACAAATGGGCTGGGATGTGCTGTAATAAACTTTATCAGCAGTTGTTGGCAGGCCACAATTGGTCCTTGCACAACAGTTTGCTGACCTTAGGAGAATGATGTTAGGCTATTAGAATATTGCTTTACTCACAGTCTTATGGTCCTTCTGAATAAATATCCCTCTGCAATCATTGCAATTCACCGTATTCTATAGTGGCTGCTGAAGATGTCTAAGAGTTAAAAGAATTAGTCCATGCACTTAGGGATCAGTTTGAAGGATACACAATCATATTTTTGCTTTTTTTAAGCAAATAAAACATCCCTAAGGGTAAAAGGTATAAAACTTCAGACTTCTATGAAACTATAATCTTTTTTTTTTTTTTTTTTTTTTTTGGACAGGCAGAGTTAGACAGTGAGAGAGACAGAGAGAAAGGTCTTCCTCCTGTTGGTTC